AAAATTGCATTTTGCTATATGTGGTTTCAAAAGTGACAAAAAACAAAACACTTGGAAAAAAGAAATGAACACAAAAATAAAATTTTTTAAGGATGCCATCATATGTTATTGTGGTAGTTGCCACCGACAATACAATCAACAACAGATGTAGGTACGTAGTTTTATCAGTTCGTTTGTTTTATTATTGTACAGGTACCTTGCCATATAGGCAAGGAATAGTTAAAATTCGCGTTTTTATTTTTTCGACATAAAAACATTAAATTTATAAAAGTTGAAGAAAAAATAAGTTGAGGTGAAAGAAAAATTGTAAGTCAGTTTCATCTGGAAAGCAAAAAAAAAGAGAACAAATACTGTTCTCGTTTTCATATCCGTACAATGTATAAAATGTTGCGGTTTGTAAGAAGGACCAATCCTAACAATTTATTTTCTGTCATGTGTTTTATAGTTAAAGTTTATTCTTATGCTCTGCTTTTTATTTTGTGTCAGTGATAGTGATACCAAATACTTAAAATTACATGATGTAAAAAAATTCAAAAAATTTCATGCAAAACCTTGTTACTTTAAGGTACCTAGGTAACTTAAGTTATTATAATTATATGGAATTTTTATAGTTTATAACTAAATTAGTGTCCAAAAAATAGTGTGAATTCAAAGAAATTTCAAGAAAGCTCCCAACTGTAAACCTCGCAAGCGGATAATGGGAGGGAGGAAGCAATGCTTGAATTCGTATTACAAACTTCCATAGGATCAGCTCTTCAACGTTATAGACTTCTAATTTGTATTTTATTACAAGGCCCAAATTTCCGCAAACCACTTTTTACTTTTCTCTAAACAATTAATCAAAAATTTTTAGAAATTCCTGTTGCACCAAATAAAAGCAAAGGAAAATTGGTGGGTGCAATAGGACCCTGGTCTAAAAATTCAGATACAATAACGAAATGACTTGACCGGACTCTTAATTCTTAATATCGTAATTTTCCACAATACGATATTCTTACTTGAAAATTTCCAGCCATAGTAGTGCCTTCTATTTGAATATAGCAAAATAATTGTTTTGAAAATTTTATTACGTGGAAAAGTTTTGAACAAAATCAAGAACCGATTAACATGACACAGACATTGGCGTCCCACAATTATTGAGTTTAATAAACGTAAACCGTAATTGAATTTTTGAATACCATTCAAGTGTTTTTCCATCGATTAAAGTGATAAATAAACGGGGGAAAAAAATGCTAAATCATCGTGAAAAACTTTTATAAAAACTATAAAAAAAATAAAATTTAAGACAACAAAAAAACTTAAGAAAAAAAATCAGCAATAATAAGAACAAGAAATGAAAAACTAAATCAGTATACCGTAACACACAGGAACCGTAACACATAGGAACTGCATAAATGATAAGTTTGATTTTAACAAGTGACACGTGATTAAGTTTTCAAGTAAATATAAGAACTAAGAGATCTTAACTCTGCACTTATGTATTATAAATACCAGTCTACATACACACACAATCATATTATTTTTTTTTGTTGTCGCTGCCATTTTAAGTACTTAAGTTGGCGGAAAATGAATCAACTTGAAGGGAAGAAGAATAAAGAAAAATTTCTTTTATATAACAATATTACATTGTATATAAGTGGAAAAAGAAATCATCTCTTGATGAATGTTAAGATTAAAATTAAAAATTATATTTGAGTTGAGTAAAGTATGAGAAGGACTAAACGTATTCTTTCTACACTCTTATACACCTACATACGAAAATATACGAAAATTGTGCAGTTTTAAGGAAATAGAATAGAATTGTTGTGTAATGGGGATGACGATAAAGATATTGATGTTAGTATCGGAAAGTAAGGGAGAATAGTGTAAGAATTTTCATTTTTATACAAAAAGAAAAAAATAATGCAATTTTACCACCATTGTACCCGCTACTTTATTATAAAAATTACAAACGGTAAGAATGAAATATTAAATTGAATGGAGGGAGGAATAAAGATAAAGTGTAATATTGAAGACCAACTATAAAACAATATAGGAGGGGATTTGTCCCCAACTTATGAATTTTAGTTAAAGAATTTTCGGAGTATTCGAAATCATCCTTTATAAAGTCGCGAACAAGAATCATTTATATTAAGAATGAATGTAATTTTTTTGTTTCTCAATTTCCTGTTTTTTTTTTTTAAATAATGTGGGATGACTTAAAATTTTAAGAATGATATTAATTGCATAGAAACGAAAAAAAAAAATTAAAATGAATTGTCAAGAAGTTTTCAAAAAGATTTTATATTTTTTAAATGAAGTCAGAAATTAAAAGAATTTATTTAAGTAAGGATTAGGAATGAATGCAAAAAAAAAAACAATTATATGTAGTTTGAGGAATTTATTAGATGTTCTCGGTTATTAGGTCTTGCATGATTATTTATTGATAGTAATTTTTAAGTTTTTTGTAAATCGGTGGAAAATAAGTGGCGTTCCATGTTGGGTTTTGGAAAATCTAATAGATGAAAGCATATTTTTATACTAGAGAACGTTTGAGTAGTTTGAAAGTAGTTCCTTGCCAGTTTCTTTGTTATACTACCATTATAGTTTTAGGAAATTTTCGAAAATTTTGTGGGTTCGCATAATTTTAGACTTTGTTTTTCAGAAAACTAATTGAAAAGTTTATTCGAAACACCCTATATAATCAAACATTTTCGAAAAACTCTTTGCAGAATCAATTTGTATAAAGGAGAATATCCATAAACAGTATAAATTACAATACTATGTAGGTCCTGGTGTTGAAATTGATATGGTCTGGCTTTTACTCATATTTTACATTTCTTAAGAAAATTCTCCGAATTTCCCTGAATTTGGCCTTTTTAATTTGTTCAGAGTCCCTATGAGGAAGTTCATTAAATGGTCGTTTCCTTTGTAAGTTGATGATTCAAACATGAGTGTTAAAAATTAATTCAATATTCACCAATATTTCTAATGCCATCACTAATGGCACATGAAGACCAGTTTGTTTAAGTTTTGACCAGAAAAATATTTGGATCTTCTGACAAACAAAATTAGACTTAATTTACATGAATAATTTTATTAGCATAAATTAGACAATACCTGGGTAATTGTTAACATTTCTACATTATGCTTGTAAATAATTTCAAACTCCAATATCCAGTTTCACCATATTTGGCAACCATCCATAATATTTTTCTTAAGTCAACTAAAATAAGAATGAATTAAAGGAAAGAATTAAAATGCAATACAAACGTTATACTTTTAAAACTATGTACGAAAAATTTTGTCAGGAAAAATTATGAATTTTATATGAACATACAACTGTATACATATAAATTCACTTGTAAAAAATACAGTCGTGTATAAAGTAAATACTATAAGGAAATTTCCGCTAACTTCTAATGTGTTGAAAAAAAAACCTTATATTGAATGACGTTTTCCAGGTTTCGTTGCATAATATGCAAATATTAAACAATTTTTATAGTATGGTAAAACAAAAATTATGTAGTATAAAAATACCATCAACCCCGGTCATATTATACCTATGAATTAATATTATGAAAATATTTCATAAATTAATGATATCATAAATTTTCTTGATTATATTCTCCGAATAATAAATATAAGAAAAAAACTTAGAAAAGTTAAAGAAAAACCACTATAAAGAAAAAGAAAAAGTTAAAATATATTACCCATTTTTAAATTACCTTTGTTAACTATTTATAGATTTGTCATATTAATTGTAATTGTAGTACTTTTACTACATAAATTTTTTTAATTTGAATATTTTTCAAAAGCTTTCCAAAAAAATGGCAATTTATACAATCTGTTTATTTTTCAAAATTAAAACTTGAAAATTAAATTTATATCAACAAAGAGCCGACAAAAATTTGCAACGCGGCAGCACTTATATTGTGCCTAAATTATTCAATCAATTGAAAGTATTAGAATTAGTTTGAATTTCAGCTTTAATTTTAGAAGGAAAAGGAAGTGTCAAATGAAGTGTAAAAGTATTGCCATATTTATCTAACAGACCACCGAATTTTCCGAAATATTGAAATCGGAGAACTTTTCAAAAACAATTTCGTTTACAAAAAATGTTTTATAATTTCGAAGTATTCCAATTGAAATATTTTTTTATTTTTTTTTTTGTGAATTTTTTTTTTGAACTCACAAAGGATACGTGAGTCTCATTTTATTTAGTATGGTTTTAAAATCGATCTAGTTTATGATAATTTTGTTTTTCTTTTAAATTCAGTTTCTTCCTCAATAATTTTACTTTTAAATTCAATAGTCACTCACCACTATCCTTCCATTTGGAGGACAAGGAAGGTTGGCAGCGTTAAAAATTGCCATTTTTTTTTTAAATGCATTTTCCACATGAAATTTTTGACGAAATCGAATTATTTAAATTTAAATTTAAAAAAATATGTAGAATCAGTAAAGCTAAAAATATTAATCAATTTGCTTCACACAAATAATTTCCAACACCCCTTTCATTTAAACTCCATATAAATTTGGAATTTTTTTGGAAAAGATTCCACCTTTTTAGAGAATTCAAAGGAAAAGAAATTCTATATTAAATTTCTCGCAAGCTTTTTTTGCATTGTGCCCAATATAAAACTACTACAACTTCCATAATTCAAAACGGCAACACTTTATTAAAAATTTTCCGCTTTCATTCGTCTATGTTAAAAAAGAAAAACTAAAAATATAATGAAAGTTTAGGAAATTTGTATAATATTTTTAGTGCACTGTTAGTGGTTTTGATGATCGAGGTTTTTATTTTAAGTTTTTTCCTTTTTCTTTCACTTTTTATGTACAATGATTTGCGTTTTCCCTTTTTTTTTTTGCTTTTATTTTCTTTGTCATGTATGCAAGCGATCAAAATGAGGTAAAGTAAAGTTTCAATGTATATAAATAAAAAAATGGGAAACAAAACCGAACTAAAGATATACATAAGGAAAAAATAAATGACAGGAAACTTGGACCCTATAAATATGGAAAATTGTTTGGTTTTTCACATAAAAGTGGAAACACAAAAACAAGCGGGGAAAGATGAAAAGGTAAGAAAAAAATATTGTGGAAAATGAAGGAAAACTTTTGTTTTTGGTGTTATTTTTTGTTTTGCTTCATAAATTATTAGTTTTATATTTGCATGTTTAGAGACCCTTTTACTTATTTTGGTGTCTGATGTGCATTCATATATACGATACAAGTGTTACTACAAGAGTAAACCATAGAATAAAATAAAACATTTTTTTTAATAGAAAATATTTTTTTGGTGTTCTAGTTCCCAGTTATAAAATACACAACGTGAAAAAAAAGAAATACTTTCTAAAACAATTTAGAGGGAATAATTTATGTTATTTGGGATTTTCTTTCTTTCTGTGTTTAATGGAAAGGTATACGTAATAAAAATTGAAAATTCGATTATACAAGGATGTTTATAACTTTATAACCTTGTAAAATTTTCAATAGGTGAATATGTGTGTATATAATGTGCATACAAAATGTTGTACAGAGAAAGGATGGTTTGATGTGATTTTGGTTTACATGGCATGTTATTTTTTATATATTTTACGTGTATGTGCAATTAAAAATGATTTATTTATTTTATTTTATTAAAATAATTGATTTCAAATTATATTTTGTGTAATTTACCAGAAAGTGAATGACATGGAAAAGATTTATTAAAAAAAAAATTTTTTTTTATTACAAAAACGAAAGCAGAAAAGAAATTCTATTTGTATTTGTGGTTGTAAATTTAATTGAAAACCTATTTAAAAATACATATACAAAAATTTTAATGCCTGTATGAGGAGAAAATTTACATACGTCAGAATAATTTTGTGTTCAAAATGCTCAACAGGTATTTGAAATCGAAAGATATTTAAATTTATGTAAATGGGTTGGAATTGTGGGTGAGAGATAATATTGCCAAGGTGGTCATTATTTTGAAAGATGAGAAAGTATGTAAAAAAAGTCATGGTTTTAAATTTTAAATTTTAATTTTTTAATTTTTCTGTCTGGACTCGTTCCTATGGTTACGTTATCCACCTGTTCTGAAGTTGTATGAAGGAGCTTCTATTATCTTATCTGTTTAAAGATAAACAACTATACGTTGTGTTGTTAATTTGTAATATCATTAGTGTATAAGGGAAAAACAAATGTTTATATGCACTTGTGACTGTATGTGTTTCAAATAAACGATTATATGTAGTGATCGCATCTAAAAAATACTTGGTAATCATAATGATTACTGTATAAAGTAATGTGTAGAACGATTTGTTGGTAACTTCTTCATACCTTCCCTAGCTCAGTTGGTATAGCGTCCACTTAAAAAGCGGTTGGACACTTATTGACTCATTCTTTTGGTTATATCATCCTTCTGTTGTGCAGTTGCATGAAGAAATTTTCATATAACATTTCCGTGAAAGCGATGCAGCTTCAGGCTTTAAAAGAATTTCAATTTAGGAACAAACCATAAACAAGATTCATTATTTCAAGATTACAATATTGATAATTTCTTATGTAATGTTCAGAAAAAGAGGTGTCAGATATAGATATGAAATTTAATTATGTATATATAATAAATAAAAAAATCCCACTTTCATCGGAAAGTAATGAAGACTTACAATAGAAATGATCCTGTGAAGTACAGTCTATTGGAGAGTCCCCGCTGCCTTTCGATGGTGCAGCTGAAAAGGATGGGCAGGGACGAAACGATGAAGCATTTATTATGTGATTGCGGCAGTTGATCGCTTGCGACGGGGGTGCTTCGGGTGGGCGGGGCTTTGTAACCCCCTGGAGGATGCCGTGTCTTGATGTGACTATACGGTTTGTCATGGGCCTGGATATATGTCTAATATAGGTCTAATAATTATTAATGGGGATGATAATCACAAAAGATCCTATGGGTCGACGTGAGAAGGGCTGAAGGGTTTCTTTCCCCGGAGGAGGGGAAAAAATTATATAATACTATAAATATCAATACATATACTCTAACTAAAGCATCAATTTTGGGGTTTGATTTAGATTTGGTATGTGCTCATAATTTTTGCCATGACAAATTTTTTATATTCATGACAAAAACCTATTCAAAGCAATTATTAATTTTCAGATTTTCAAAACCTTAAGAATTAATATTAAAATTTCAATAATTGTAATTAAATTTTAATGAGCACATTTTGATTTTGATTAAAAATTTAAATTGAAATTTATTTTTAAAATATTTAAGAAATCATAATGAATTTTTAAATAATAGAATTGAATTAAAATCTTTTCTAATATAGGTGAAATTTCGCAGTAATATTTTTGTGTCATAAATGCATATAGACATTATATTTCAATTGTAATTTAAAAAATAATTTTAATTGTGGAATACAATTATTTTGAACAAAAAATTGTTCATTTAACAGAACTCTTTGTTACCAAATTGCATATATGTAGAAGAATTAAAAGGTAAAACTTATTTAATTTTAATTATTCCACATTCTCATTATATGCATAATTTTGAGAGTTAAGTCTTATATATACCATATATAGACAATAATAGTAAAAGTGATAAATATTTCGACATTATAATATTCATTATAACAATAAAAAATTTTAATAACGGGCAAGCATTAGTTAGTATACAAGTTTTTAAATAAAAATTGTACTACAATAAATTCTTATATTGTCAAAATTATTATTTATCAAAAAAATTTTCCTAATATGAAATGTGTATATTTAAATATACAATCATTAAATGCATATAAATATATGAATGTATGCAACATACAATTGTACACAAATCAAAGAATTCCAAAAGCATGTTTTATAGAATATTTAGTAATTGACCTAAATGACTTGCATTTAAAATTAAGCGTTTGTTATACGAGTTAAAACATTGCAGATATTACAATATTCCATAATATGTACATATACATACATACATAACACATATATATTATATGAGAATAATGAGGTTTCATTCTGAATTATTAAAATTGCAAAATCAAAACCATATTTTTATGCATGTGTACATAAGCATGTGTGAATATTTTGTTATATACAATTTCTAAAATAGTATATAATTATAATGAAAATTTAATGAAAATTTTGAACAAAAGAATTAAAATAGTTTTGAATTTTGCGCTTTTATTTTACATATTTTTTTTCGAAAACTACTTGTAAAGGCATTAAAAAATGAAATAGACATGCTGATAACAATTTTTGCTTCCATATTGTTCTTATTGTTACGAGTAGGTACTAAGTATTATGAGTATGTATTAAAATAAAGTTGGGTCAAACCAATGGTTTGTATTGTAGCACTTTTCCCTTCCACTAATTTCCAACAATTAGTGGAAATACACTATTCATCTACCACACTATTAAAATTATTTTCATTCATATATGAATCTATTTATAAGATTGCATATATTTAGGATGAACGATTTATGCAGTCTTTTGAAATAAAGCAAAATTTGAAAAAGCTTGCAGTTTGGGAAATATAAGGTGCGAAATATTAATATTTTACAATTTTCGTGAGGGGATAATTTGAGAGGGGGTGGAGGTGGGAAAAAATTTTCTTCTAACGTAATTAACTATTTATTAGCGTCTAAAAGCTCTTAAAATTTCAGGCTTTTGCAGCCTGAAGTCTAGAAGAAAAATGACATTAAAAATTTATAAAAAACGGATTTTAGATAACCGTAAATTTTAACGGCAATTTTGTTTTTTTTAAAGTTCCAATATAGTATGCCGTGGTAGGAGAAGGCAGCCATTATATTTCTGCATTTGCAAAATTTCAGAAGTGCTTTTCACTGCAATAAATGGTTAAAAAATACCAATTTTGATTTTTACAGGGCTGTAACTTTAAGACTTTTAAAGGGTGGGAGATAGATAAAAACTTTGTTCTACGAGAATAAGTTTCTAGTAAAGATCTATGAACATATTAAATTTTAGCTTTCTATCTTCAGGGATGTAGAAGTTTTATAAACATATCCAAGGACGGACAGATTGACGCACTGACGGACGGATAGAAGGAAACTAATATGCACTTTTTTTTTTTAATTTTTTTGAAAAGTGCTTAATAATAAACAATGTGCGCCCATAAATATACATTTTTTGTCTCATAATAAGTTGTACATGTATACATAATTACATACATATAATTATGTATGCATCGATAAGTGATTATGTAAGTGTTAAAAATATAATTCTTCCGTTTGAATTTTAATAAGTTTTGTGTTGAATGAAAAAATATTATAAATGATTAAGTCACTGTTTTTTACTAAAAGGGACTTTCAGGATTTTCAATTGAGTTAGACTTCAATTTACAAATATAACAATAATAGTAATAATGAGTTTAAATTTTATAAATATTATAAAATATCCATGGATGGCTTTACATATCCACCATTATCAAATAATAAAAATGAATGTTATTGTTATATTTGATAGATTTGACCTAAATTTGAGAAATTCAAATATAATTATTGTCTACGTTTTCTTTTGAAAATTAGTAATCTAATATTTGAAGTTGACCAACTACAGATTTAACCTTAATTTAATTTACTAATTACTAAATAGTTCAGATTGATTTTAGATTTTTATTTTTAGGCAGCCGTCTGCTCTTATTCAAGTATAATATTAATTTTAAATTAATCATTTCTAGAAATTTGGGTCTAGAATTCATATTCTGCTGAACTAATGAATGTTAATGAGTTAAACGGGCATAAAGAACCCATTTTAAATTTTATTTACAAAATTTTAAAAAATTTTTTTTTTTAAATTTTATTGAAATTTTAGAAAATTAAAAAAAATTTTTGATTAGTTTTTCCAACTCTTTCCTTCGAAATCATTGTTTTTGAAATTTATTTGGGAAACCCTTACGCATCACGTATTATGAATTAGAAATATTCTAAACAAATTGATATGCCTGTGTGATAGGTGTATATCACAAGTCAATCTTAGTTATAATAATTTTTAAAGGCACATTTATAGACTAATAGATTTCTGTTTCATATTAGTATGTTACGTGTGTGAATTTTTCATATTATCACAATAGCGACGCACTGAA